TGATTTTCTGCTGAACCGAAAAGTGTTTTTTCCTACTCAGTTCCTACTTCTGACACCTGTTTTTAATTCATTAATTATTCTTCATAAAGTGCTCCTGGGGTCTTTTGTGGAAGAGAAATAAAATAAAAAAGAAGACAGAGCAAAAAATAATAATTAAAAAAAAAAAAAGAAGACAACCAAATGTTTGCTTCCACCTGGCCAGGGAGTTATCATGGATCGCATGGGGTTGGACGCCTCTCTTGGAGGTGTCCTTGGGCAGCCATCCCTTGCTGAATCCAACCCTTGCAGAGCAGGATGGCACAAAACCAGGCTCCCCCCAGCATTTTTTTGGCCTCCCCAGGATTCAGGTGGTAGCCCAGGAGCCCCCTCTGCCCTCCAGCCACTGCCAGCCCCACGGTGCAGCATCGGTGATGCTGGAGACCACCGGAGGAACCAGCATCCCTGCCCCTGCCTCCAGGCACATTGCCCTGAGGGTATTGCAGTTCTATTAATTAAACACCTAATTAACAATCTCAGAATAATTAATGATCTAAGAATAATTAGTGATCTAAGAATGATGGCTAATTGGGGATAAATTTTCCAATATAACGTTTCTCCCACGGGGTGCTGTGCTGGGGCTCTGCCCCATGAGAACCTCATTTATGACAAACTCCCTCTCATGTTGAGCTACGTTTTGGGGCATTTTCTCCCTTTTTCCCTAGGATGAGCCCCCCTGGGTGAAGAACCCACAGTGCCTGGGCTCTCCCAGCCCTGTCTGAGCCCAAACACTGTGCTAAGGGGTCAGCAGCTCCAAGCAATGCCAATGCACCAGCAGCATCAGTGCCAGCAACACTTCTCTCGATGTAAACCCCAAACGGGGGACAGCGGGAGAGCAGGCAGGCTCTTCCCAAATGGAAGCTGGAAGCTTTATTTGCAAGGCCATAGGAATCTCGGCAGCATAGTCCGAATTCCTGCTGGGCTGAGCTAAACCGGGGAAGTTTGTGATGTTCCTTGCCCGGGAGCAGGCGGCACAGGGGCTGCCCTAAGCATTTTTTTTTGGTAGGATATATCTGGAAAGCTGGGCCCCTGGTTTTGTAGGAAGAAAATGCCCACGTCGCTGCCTCAGCTCCAGAAATGGGGGTGTAAACCACATGGAAATTCATTGTAACCCCAAGGGGGCTCGGCAGCAGCTTGGAGATTAAGGGCTGATTATTTATGAGCTCTGCTGATGCCGACCCCACTACCAGAGCCGAGTCCTTCCCACCTGCAGTTATAGGGACACCCCTCAGCCTGGAGAGGGATTAGGATTCCCGATCCTATGGGGCTATGGGACCTCCTTTCCCTCCCAAACCTGGGGCTGGGTGAGGCTCTGCTGTGTCCTGGCCCCATGGGGAACAGAGTTGGGATAGGTCAGGGTGAAGCGAGGAGGGTTCCTAAAGCTTCCCCATCACCCCAGCTCCAACACCCAGAGGCTGGATTTTCCTTGGGGAAAATACAGTTGCTTTCATGTTTAAAAAAAATAAAAATAAATAAAATAAAATATTAAATCCTATTTATTTAAAATCCTATTTATTTAAAATCTGAATTATTTTAAAATCCTGTCTTAAAACGATCCCCATTTTAATGGGGCTGTTTCTTTTTTAGTGTGAGTTTTATTTAATGATTTTTGTTTGTTTGTTTTGATTTTTTATATTTTTTTTACTTTTTAACTTTTTTCCCTGCAATCCAATCCTCCAGCATCACCACCTACCCCACCGGAGCCTCTTCATCCTCCTCCAACTCCCCCTTTGCCCTTGATCTCTGAGCATCAGAAACATGAAAACCCAAAACATGGGATCAGGACCGGGACCAGGACCGGGACCAGGACCAGGACCGGGACCAGGACCGGGGCCGTGCCCGGGGCCGAGGCGGCGTCGGGGCTGCCGGGGGCGCTGACCCCAGCGCCGGGGAGTCTGGAGCGGAGCCGTCCCCGCCGCCCCCCCCCGGCGCCCCCCGCCGTCAGCCCACACCTCATCAATAGGGGCTGACAGCACGGCCCCCAGCACGGCCCCGGCGGGGGGGCAGGCGTAGGGTTGGGGGTTTAGGGTTAGGGTTAAGGTAGGGTTGGGGGGTTAGGGTTAGGGGTAGGGTTGGGGGTTTAGGGTTAGGGGTAGGGTTGGGGTTGGGGTTAGGGGTAAGGTTGAGGGTTTAGAGTTAGGGTTAGGGTTGGGGATCAGGGTTAGGGTTGGGGATTTAGGGTTGGGGTTGGAGTTTAGGGTTGGGGTTGGGGTTAGGGGTAGGGGTAGGGTTGGGTATTCAGGGTTAGGGTTGGGGTTGGGGTTAGGGATAAGGTTGGGGGTTTAGAGTTAGGGTTGGGGATCAGGGTTAGGGTTGAGGATTTAGGGTTGGGGTTGGGGATTTAGGGTTGGGGTTTAGGATTGGGGTTGGGTTGGCGAATCAGGGTTAGGGTTAGGGTTTAGGGTTAGGGTTAGAGCTGGGGGCTTAGGGTTCGGGTCGGGGCTAGGGGTAGGGTTGGGGGTTTAGGGTTAGGATTGGGGTTGGGGTTAGGGTTGGAATTAGAGTTAGGTGAGATCCCCCCACAGGTGTGGGCACTTGGGAGGGGGATGCGTGGGTGGGGATGTGGGGACAAATGCAGGGCTGTGTAGGAAGGGGGCATGGTCAGGCACAGGAACACCGAAATGATGGGAACGTCACGGGGAGAAAGGGTCAGGTGGCTCTGTGGTGTGGGGTGTGGATGTGCAGGTGTCTGGATAAATGGAAGTATGGAGAAATGGATATAGGGATAAATGGATATAGGGATAAATGGGTATGCAGATAAGTGGATAAATGGATATATGGCTATAGGGATAAATGGATGTATGGGTATATGGATAAATGGATACGAGGATGTATGGATAAAGGGATGTAAGGATATTTGGGTATATGGAAAATTGGATGTATGGATATATGGGTGTAGAAATAAATGGATATAAACCTATATGGAAAAATGGATAAATGGGTAAATGAATATATGGTCATATGGGTATATGGATAAAAGGGTGTATGAATAAATGCAGATAAATGGGTATATAGATAAATGGATGTATGGATAAATGGATATATGGGTATATGGATAAAAGGATATGGGGATAAATTGATATAAGAACATATGGATAAATGGATATATGGGTATATGGATATGTGGATGAATGAGTAAATGGGTAAATGAGTAAAAATGTAAATGAGTAGATGGGTAGAAGGTCGTGTGACATGTCTATATGGCTAGGCGGCTATAGGGCTAAATGTGCAGACGAGTAGAAGGCTGGATGGCCCTACAATATATGGCTCTATGTCTATATGACCATAAGGCTCTATGTTTATATGGCTCGATGTCTATACGGCTATGGGGCCGAGGGTGCTGTGGTGTCAGGGCCGTGGCTGTGCACGGCTGGGGCAGAGCAGGCGGGGGGGCAGCGCCGGGACCCCCCCGCCCCGGGCAGGGGTTTGGTGGCCGCAGGCGCGCCCCCGGCGCGCTCCCGTTCACCCCGGGCGCGCTCCCGCGGGTTCCCACGGTCACGGCGCCGCAGCGGGGGCGCGCCCGCGTTTTACGAGGGACACGAAACGAAATAAAGCAAAATAGGGTAAAGAGAAATAGGGTAAAGTAAAATGAAACGAAGGAGAATAAGGTGAAATAAAGCGCAATGAAATAAGGTAAAATAGAATAAAGTAAAATTAAACGAAAGAAAGTTAAAATAAAATAAAGGAAAGGAAATAAATGAAAATGAAACGAAATGAAACGAAAGAAAATTAGAATAAAATAAAATAAAATAAAATAAAATAAAATAAAATAAAATAAAATAAAATAAAATAAAATAAAATAAAATAAAATAAAATAAAATAAAATAAAATAAAATAAAATAAAATAAAATAAAATAAAATAAAATAAAGAAATAATAAACTAAATAAAATAATTTTGATGGGGGGCGGAGCAGGGTCCCCCAGCCCTGCCCCCTTCCTGCCCACACACCGCTGTTTTTTTCTGGGGGGGGGCGGGGGTCCCCAAATATTCACCAGGATGGGGCCTGGGGGAGAGGGGAAGGATCCAGCCCTACTGCGGCAGAGCGGTTTGTTTGGTGCTGGTTTGGGGTTTTGTTTGTGCTCAGACACGGATGGGGGGGGGAGAGAAATTGGGATGGGGGGGGCTCAGCTGCGAAGGCGCTGGGCAGGGGGCGGGGGGAGGCGGCGGCGGTGCGGCCCCGAGACGTCTCCGGGGCGCGCACGGCTCCTCCCGGCACGGCCCCGACCGGCCCCAAGCACGGCCGCAGCTCCCGGCCCTACAGCCGCAGATCCGCAGCCCTAGAGCCGAAGATCCCGGCCCTGTAACAGCAGCTGCCCAGCCCCTATAGCCGCAGCCCCATAAGCCCTAAAGACGCATCTCCCCAGCCCTATAGCCGCAGCACCAAAACCCCTATAATCACAGCACCAAAACCCTTATACCCACAGCTCCCCAGCCCTATAGCCTCATTTCCCCAACCTCTATACCCTCAGTTCCCCAGCCCTATAACCGCAGCTCCCCAACCCTATACCCGCAGCTCTCCAGCCCTATAACCACATCTTCTCAGCCCCTGTACTCGCAGCCCCCCCGGCCCTACAAGCCCCGCTCCGTACCGCCCGCGGCTGCCTCCCCGGTCGTTTAGGGCAGCCCCCCCGAGCCACCCCATCCCGGCCCCCCCGGTCCCCTCTCCGGCTCGCAGCCGGAATTAAAAAATCCCAAACCCCAGCGCCCTGCGCGCTCGGCGCCGCGTGTACCCGCTTCTCCCTCCCCCCGTGCCAAAATGACTTTTCTTCCTCCCTCGAGTCTCCCCCAACCTTTTCGTGCCCGTGATTTAAGGAAAAATAAATAAAAAAAAAATCAATTCTCGGCACAGATTTTTAAAACCTTAAATCCCTCCCCAAACCCATCTTCCCAGCTCCGACCCCAAAATCCTGACGCCGGTCCCGGCTGCAGCCACCGAGCGCCGCAGCCGCGGGGACCCAGCCGCATCCCGACCTCTGCTTTTATTTTTTTATATATATTTTTTTCGTTTTCTTGTCAAAAAAAAGGTTAAAAAAGGAACGGGTCCGTCCCTTCCCCATAGATCCATCCTGCCGGGGCTGAGCTCAGCGCTTTTGGGGCGAAGCCAAGGCAGGTCCCTGAAACCTCTCTGCTCCCGGCAGGGCTGCTCCGGAGGCTTTAAGAGCTTTTAATTGAAAATTTTCTCCCTCTTATCATTATTGTTATTATTTTTTTTAAATAAAGGGACGAGATTCCGTAAAAAATCAACGAAGTTTCCCCTAAAAAAAAATAAATCCGGTGGGTTTTGCAGGGAGATGCGCGTCCCTTGGGATGGCGGCACATCTGGATCCGCAGCTGCTGGGGGGAAAAAAAAAATAAAATAATCAATAAAAAGAAAATGGATTTAATTCTGCCGCCTTCCCCTGCCCGGTGCCGTGCCCCTATTTGAGTCCATGCCCCTCTTTATGTCCGCGCACAGGCGGGTATTTAGGAAGGGCTGGATTTATGTCTTTACACCCTATACACCTACATACCCTATATATTAACACGTTTTAAGTCCCGTCCCCACGCGATATTCGCATTTCGATGTACAGACCCGCAGCAGAAATCATTTTATTTAGCCGTACCTAACCCGATACCCACAGCAGAGATCTAAAAACCCGGTTTAGGACCGCGGTCCTAAAAGAAATTCGTGCCATCGCCCCGTGTTTCTGCATCCGCACGGACATTTCTATAGGTGCCCGTACCTATAGCCCTGCTGCCCGGCCCCGATGCCCCACACCCGGCCCCAAAGCAGCCCCCGTTTTGGGGCAGCCCCCGCGCTCCCCAATTCCCCGGGGGAATAAGGGGCTCAATGGGACGGGGGGGGCTCGCGCTCCGCTCCCATAAATTGCTTTTTCCACATTTTTTTTTCACTATTGAAACGTAAAGAGGAGAAATCTTTCAATTGGAGGTTTTTGATTTCATCGGGGATTTCACTTTCCGAGCCCCAAAATCCACTTCCAGCCCCCCCCCCCACCTCTCCCTGGATCAGACCCTAAAATTTAGGGGTACCCCGGAGCTCCCCCCCGAGGTGCCCATCAGCCCACTGCAAACTGAGGGCTTTGGTGTGTGATTATTAGGGGCAAATAATGGCCAGGGCGGATTTTTTTAGGAATTATCAAGGGTGTGAGCATCATTCGGGGGGGGACAGAGCCCCCCCAGGCCCTCCTGGGTTCGGTGGGACCCCAAATTGCAGCCGGCTGGGCTGGCCCCGCATCACACCGGGAATCTTTAGACCCTACAGCAGTGCTCAGGGGGGCGGTGGTGGCAAGGTTGTATTTGGGGAGGGGGGTCTATTTTTTTGGGGGGGGCACCCCTAAATACGCTGGGGTGGGAGCAGGGTGGCTGTGACTACTTTGCTCTGCTCGGAGCATGAAGGATTTGGGGGCGGGAGCTCGGAGAAATCCTCCCGGCTCCTCAAACATCCCCAGGGAATAGGGTCACTGGTAATGGGATCGGGGTGCTGGGTGCCCCCCGTCCCCAGCACGGGGGGGCCACGGGTGTCCCTCCAGGTGCGTGGGGAGGCGCGGAGCGGGGCTGGACTTTGCCTGCAGCGTGGGGCCGGCTGTGTGGGCATGCCCCGGGGCTTCATTTTAGGATTTTATTCCTTTTTTTCCTTAAAATTTATATTTTTGGCACAGCAACGAAACCTGGTGCCCGGCTGATGGTGCAAGAGATACGGACCCCCCTTCTCCTCCAGCCCACCCCCCCCCTTTTTTTCTTTTTTTTCCCTATACCACCACCTCTTTTCCTCCCATCGCCGCCCACTTCCACGTGACGTGGGCAAACCAGTCAGCGGGTGGGACTGGGGAGACTGGCCACACTGGGGAGAAATTATTTGGGGTGCTGGTGGTAGGGGGGGGGAGGAGAGAGGGGGGGCACACAACCAGAACCCAGCTGCCCCCTCCGCAACCCCATTCCCCGGCGGAGCAGGACCAGGAGCCAGGCACCCCTAAACCCCCCGCCATCCCCGCAGCGAGGGGTCCCTGCCCCACGACCCCAAAAGGCCCAAAAAGACCCCAAAAGGCCCTCCCCTGCCCCCAGCACCAAGGTGGGTAGCGCTTTCTGTCCCCCGCTCCTGGCGAGCCCCTTCCCTCCAGGCCTCTCCCCGCGAGCTTCCTCCTATTGTTTCCCCGGGGGCTTGAAAACGGGCTCGGATTCGCTTTTGGGGTTGATTCGCCTGTGATTTGGGGGATTATTCCGATCGGGGTTATTGCCCACGGGAGGGGAATTCGCTCTTCTTCCCTTCCCCTGCCCCTGACCCCGCTCCCTTTCGGAGCCCGCAGTGGGAAGGCTCCGTCCTAGGCCGGTCACGGGCGCACTCACAGCGGCCCCTCCGTCCCCTGGGTTTTGGGGAAAAGCAAATCCACCCCAAAATAACCATATTTTTTTTTCCCACCCCGCTGCCATCCTTACCCGCTCCCAACGCGCCACGGGGCTCTGCCTCCGGCTTCTCCCCCTTCCCTCGGCTCCCGCTGTCCCGCCGGGTATCAGCCCTTATCTCCCGGTTATCTCTGCTGCTAAATTCAGCCCGGCCGAGGGGTTCAGCCTGGGGAATCTGCTGCTTAAACCTAAATCAGTCCCAAGAGTGAGTCCTCCGGCCAAAATCCCCCTCTCCCGGCCGGCCCTGGCCTGGGTGCAAGGCGGTTTTCTAGGATCCCTCTGTGATCTGCGGAGAAATCGGCGGTAGGGGATTTCATTTCCCTCTTCCCCGCCTGTTTTTTGGGGGGTTTTCGCCCCTGCAAAACTCACAGCAGGAGCTCGTGTGCCCCATAGTGTGCCCCAAAATCCCAACCTTCTGCCCCACAACCCAAGGGGCCCAAACCAGGACCCGAAACTCATCAGGGCACAAACCCCCGAAGCGCCCACCCTGGGAAGGTGCCGACCCCAAAACCCCATCCCCATGGGGTCCCTCCAGTGCCCCCACTCGTGAAAAGGGCCCGGGGGGTGCATTAAAACCCCACAGAGGGGGAGGTCGGTGCTGTTTCTGCTTCGCAGGGGTCTTGCCCCCAGCCCCGCCAGCATCCTCAGAGCGGGGAAATCGGGGGCGCAGCGCTTAAACCCCCCCTTGGGGACCCCCCCGCGGGGTGCACAGGACCCGGACACGCCTGGGGCGTGCCGGTGGGATCCCAAACCACCCTCCTTCTTCCCCTCCCCTTTTCCCCTTTCCCAATTTAACCGGTGCCCCCAAACCCCCCCGAAAACCCCCTAAAACCCCCCAAAACTCCTTCCCTTACCCCCCCAAACCCTCCCCGCTGGTTCCACCCCCCCCGGGAACCATCAGCGGCGGAGCGCACCGCCCGTACCTGCGGGACAAAGGTGTTTTTTTTTTTTTGCCCCCGGGCTTTCGCTGTCTCTCACCTTCCCGACCGCTCCCACCCCCCCGGGGGTTCCTTCTCCATCCTCCCCCCAAGCTTTAGGTCCTGCTCTAACCTCCTTATCTCCCTTCACCCCCACCCCCCCCCAGCCCCGAGGGGGGCTCCCGCATCCCCAGCCGCATCTCCCGGGGCTCTGTTGGCCGGGCCGGGGGGGGGTTGGACGGGGAGGAGACTGCCCGAGGGTTTTAAGCAGCCCGGCCCCACTGTCGAGGAGGGGGGGGGGGGGATTTGAGCTGATGGATGGAGCCCGGTGGGAGAAGCTAATTCCAAGCGGGAGCTAAAGCTCTCCTCCGCGGGGGACCAGGACTTCTTGCTGGGGGGCTGGAAGCGGCGGCCGGACCTGCTGAAGGTGGGGAAGGTGGGCGGCGGGGAGGGGGGGTGGGTGGAGGAAAAAGGACCAGGAAAAAAAAAAAAAAAAAAAAAAAGAAATTGAAATTGAAATTAAACTCGCCCAAAGCGACCTGCTGAATTTTGGCCGGACACTCCCTCCCCAAGGCGAGACCTCTCCGGCTGCCTCTGAGGGAGAAGGGAGTTGGGGTTTGGGGGTTGTTTTTTTTTTATTTTCTTTTTTTTTCATCACTCTGCTCCCCTCGTCGTCATCGTCGTCGCTCTGGATTGTGCCCGGGGAGCCGGCTGGGGTTTGGGGGGGCCCGCGGCGAGATGTACCAGAGCTTAGCCATGGCGGCGAACCCCGGCCCCCCGGCCTACGAGGGGGCAGGTGGCTTCATGCACAGCGCGGCCGCAGCGTCCCCCGTCTATGTGCCCACCACGAGGGTCACCTCCATGCTCCCCAGCCTGCCCTACCTGCAGAGCGGCGGCTCTTCCCAGCAAGGCAGCCCCGTCTCCAGCCACTCCATCTGGACTCAACCCGGAGCCGAAAGCGCCGCTTACAACCCCGGATCGTCCCACCCGCCCGTGTCACCTCGGTTCTCCTTCTCCACCAGCACCCCCATCCCTGCCACCTCTTCCCGGGAGGCCGCGGCGGCTTACAGCAGCTCCTTGAGCCTTTCTGCTAACGGGAGGGAGCAGTACGGCCGGGGCTTCGGCGGCTCCTACTCCAGCCCCTACCCTGCCTACGTGAGCCCCGAAATGGCCACCACCTGGACTTCTTCGCCCTTCGACAGCCCCATGCTCCACAACCTTCAGGGTCGAGGGACGCCCGCGGCCGCCCGGCACGCCAACATCGGTGAGCGCAGCAAACCCCCGGGGCATGGAGGGGATGGGGTATGGTGGGATGGGATGCTGTCCGTTTTTATGTTTTCCCCCCCCGTTTTCATGTTTTATTCCCCCCCCGTTTTCATCCGTGCACTCCTATTTTTAGAGGGTGGGATTGAGAAAGTTGTGATTTTTGAGCTCCCGGGGATGGAGAATATCGGGGTCCTCATGGTGCCAGTTGAACTCATGCACTTTCACTGCAACGTTGCAAAAAGTCCTTGAAACCACAGTTGCAAATAATAATAATAATAATTTAAATGAAATTCGGGTAGGCCTGGAGCTGCAAGGATCATGTGCCGAGCTCCCGTGGAAGGGTTTGCTCCACAAATAGCTCCGCAGGCATTTCGGGGCCGCGGCGGTGATGGCTGGGGTCTGCGGGAGTGCAACCCTGGTGGGCAGCCCCTTCCCGGCTCGATTTGGTGCAAAAAGGGGAAATTTAGGGATGGAATTAACTGGAAAAGTTTGGTGTGTGAATCCCAGATCTCGCTCTCGGGCCGCTTTGTGTCACGTCTTTTCTGCAGCAGTTGGGTGGTTGGCGAGGCCGGGGAAAGGGAAGGTGAAGGGAAATTCAGCGCCGAGGGGGAGAGGTGAAAGAGAAGAAGAAATAAATCCGCATCCATTAGCACAGCCTCTTGTACCCTGTTTGCTTTTGGGGGGGGGGATCAGCACATCTGGGAGCCCCAGCTCTGGATTTTGGGGTCTCACCACCCAAAATCCCACCCGGGTTTCTTGTGCCGATCCCCGTCTCGGAGCCGAAGCGCTGATTTCTGTAAGCGCCCCCGGTCCTAAGACCAGAAATTGTTCCCCAAATATTGCTTAATTGGCTTAAAATATCGCTTCTGTATTTTGCACGGAGGAAAAAGGCAACACGGGGAAGAAAGCAGGGCTGTGGGGCTGCTCCCCCAGACCCATTTCTGTTCCTCACTTCTCAGTGGGGGCTTCGCTGCTGGCACCGGAGCGAAGAGAAATAAAGGCACTCGGAAGTGAATGCCTCAAATCTGGCCGCCGATAGATTTTCAGGTTGCACTTAGGAGGGTAAAATTTCCCTCCAGCAAGGTTTTCTTAAACTTTAGCATTATTTTAAGGAATTACAGGAATGAAAGTCGGGTGTCAGTGAAGGCTTGGCCTTGCCATTGCCTTTTGCGTTTCCTTAGAGCATTAAGAAATTGTGTAAAAATGGGGAACTAAGCTATAAATATAAAGCGTTGGTCAACCAGGCAGGGATTTTGGGAAGCCCTGTGGTGGCAAAACACGTAGGAATCATTGATTTGTATCATCGAGGACAGTCTTGCATTTCTATTTGACTTCAGTGCCCATCTCTTCCTTGGGGGAAAAAAAAATCGCATTTTCGCAGCGGTCGCTGATGGGCTCTTAGAAAAATAACTTTAAAAATGAAATATTCAGGATGAAGCATTGCAGTTGGAGAAATATTGGGTTAGCTTTTAAGGTTCGTGGTGTTTTGGGGGGTTTTGAGATCAGTTTGTGTTGCTGGTCCCGTGGCCGGAGCCTGCTCTTCGCTCGAGCCCTTGCGTAGCACGAGGGAGATGGGACGAAACGGCCTGAAAGGCATTGAGTCTAAAAATTCGGGATTCAAACAGAAAAGGGGATTTTGTGGAAGGCAGCTCCCCGGCGGGTAGCTCCGGGCATGGTGAATCCCAAGCTCCTTTCTTTGCCTTTCCTTGGGAGCGGAGATATTTTTATTCTCCGCACGCTGAGAAACACAACCCTTGGAGCAAGGCTTTGCTGCACCCAGGGATTTTTGCAGCGCTTTCGTTTTCCTCCAGTGATTTCCTGGAAAAATAACCACCTTCGGACAGTGCTAATTGCAGAGCAGCCGGCCATTACTGTAATATTAATTAGCATTAGTATTTAATAATGAAGGTTAAGTCCGTGCAGATGGAGCTGGAATTGCAGACTCAGACACGCGCGCTCTACGCAATTGGGCACTGGCGTTTATTTTCCACAGATAAGCAATGCTCCAGGAAAGGTTTCGTGAAACTTTAGTGAAACTGCATTCAAAGCTGATTAAAAAAATATATACTAAAAGATATGTGTTCTTGCTTTTCCCTGATAGGAGGAATTTGGGGTTAAAAAGTGGCAAAGCAGCTCAGTGGTATCAAATGCTGGGGAGACTGGGGGCATAAATAAACCACATGGGCATATTATGAAAAAAAAAAACACTCCTGCTGCATGCTCAGCAAATTTGGGGTTTGGGGGTACGTCTGGGGATCATTTCTTCGCCCTGAAGGGCAGGATCAGCCCCAGCAGCCGTGAACTTGCCCCAGGGCATGGGGCTGGGGCGAATTCCCCAGCTAAGGAGGGGCAAAATTCCCTCCATTAGACGTCCCCACCACCAAAATCTGCCCCCAGAGCAGCCGGGGGGTGCTTTTGCCTCGTCCCCCCCTTGCTGGGGAGAGGCGAGCTGAGATGGAGGCAATGCACTGGCTTTTACATAGGGGATGGGGGGGCAGATCCAGCTTTCCCATCCCCACCCCGTGCAGTTTTCCTTTTTCCACTTCAGCTGCAAATTTGTGTGAAACAGAAGGATTTTTCTTTTTTGGGGGGTAGGAGGTCTTTTTTTCCTTTTCTTCTTTTTTTTTTCTCTTTTCTTTTTTTTTTTTTTTTTCTGTGGATATTTATATTTTAGGAGGATGAATTTTGCCGCTGCAGTCGGGAGCGAGCCGTGGCACGGGGCACTTTGGTTGCCTTCGCATTTCATTTTGCTTTTCTCTGAGCCAGGAGTCTCCAACTGGGCTCCACGGGACCACATCTGCGAAGATCAAAGCCCCCAGCAGACGCGGCCATCGGTCGAAAAATGTTTTTTTTTTTTCTTAATTTTCTTTTTTTTCTGCTGCTGGGAGATCGGGGAACCAGATCTCACGCTTTCCCACAGGGATGCGAAGAGCTTGGCGGGGTAGCATCCCCAGGCTGGCATTTCGGTGCCACTGACTCATCCCATTTGTCACGTCCCCCTGCCCTACCAGCCGATGCCCCAGGGGATCGGAGGGAGGGCTGAGGGCTGGATTTCTGCAGGGGTGCTCAAAGGCACCGCTCCCAATGCGGCGGCTTCAGGGTGAAAGCATCCCGCCTTGCTTCTCCCTCCTCTCCTTCCCCATTTGCAAAAATCCCCGGTGAAGGCGAAGGTGTCATCTGCAGCCCTCCGCCGTGACAACCGGGTGACAAGGAGCGGGGTCCCCAGCCCCACAGCCCCGCAGTTTTGGGGACAAAACCCGCAGGGCTACGGGATGGGGAGACACGATTCAAGCTCGAGCACGCGATTTATTTTTGTGCCCTTCCCCGTATCCCCAGACAGCATATTTAAAATTGCAATTAAAGCAGCGATAATAATAAAAATATCATCACACCGCATCACCCTTATTAATGGTACAGCTCCATCACTGGAAACAGAGCTTTAATTATTGAATACAATCACGCATAGAATAGCTGTGGTGCAGTACATAATACCTATGATATCACGTATTATATCATATCCATATATTTTTTATATAATGATTATTTTTTTTACAAAGCAGCAAAACTGAAGGCAGTGAGCAGTGGCACTAATTCTAAGATTTATTAAGCCAGGATGAATTATTTTTTTTGCACACGCACCCACGTGCATCTTTATCCCCATAACAAAAGCAGTGATTTCTTTTTTTAAGAGGGCAGCCCGTACTTCGCTCTCTCCACATTTATTTCCATTCGTTTTGGGTAGAAAGAGGCAAAATCCTTGGAAAGCGAGAGAAGCGTGTATCAGGCGGTGTTTACCAAAGGAAATTGGACCCGATCCTGCTGTCTCCGTGCTCTTCTGATGATGGAGAAACCTTGGCTCGGCAGGCAGAGGTGCTCCCCGGTGCTCCCAAACGGGGCCGGTTATTTTGAAAACCCCATGGCCGCAGTTTTTCGGGGGCTTTGAAAGGTTTTCTTTGGGAAATTCCCCCCCAGCCATGCGCCGACCTGCAGATAAATCCCAACCCAGGTGAAAAGGCAGCAGGCGCCCGGCGAGATGCGCGAGGTTTTGTGCCTGGAGGTCGGCAGCTGCAGGGGGATGTGTGCAGGGAATGCTCAAGAATGGGTGAAAAAATGCAATTTCAAGGAAAATCTAATTAAAAAGCCTTTGAGAGTGTAGCTGAAGTAGCAAAACCCGAACTTTCTATGATTTCACATCGGCACAGGGCGCTGGGCTGAAATTGTTGCTCGTTGGGACCCACAGAGCTTTGCGTGCGTAGGGAAAAGAGATGCAAACAGACCTCATTTTCAGCAGTTTTGTCCCCAAATTCCTTTCCTTGCACATCAACCCGGTGTGTCCTTCCTTCTAATTCCCTTACAGAAAAGTGGGTGCAGAAATGGGGTGCTTGGGGATGTCTATCCACTCATCCCTTGGGGGGGGAAGCACCACAAATTTTGTGTGCTTTGAGGCTTTTGCACCCCTTTTCTATAAAAAAATCCCTGCGAGGCTCCTGCCTCCCATTTGGGGCTGGCTGCTGCCTGTGAAACCAGGTGGGAACATGATTGGGGGGCTCCAATCCTGGGCTGAAAGCGGCCAGGTTTTGTTGAAATGCTGATTTTTGCAAGGCGGCCGTGCTGCCGTAACCCCTCGTGCGCATCCGCGAGGTTGAGTTGTTCCTATCCCGGCTCCCTTTTTTTTGGGGGGGGGGGATCGTGTTTAATTATGCCTGTGGGGCCGAGGATTGGGAATATTCAAATATTCACCTCGCTGATGGGTCCTGAGCTCTGGCTGTCTGGCAGGAAGGTGCCAAACCGCCTTTGGTGCGTCGACCGACCGAGAAACGCTGCTTAAGTAAGCAGGGACAGAGGTGAGAACGCGCGTTTGCATCCCAAATGACGCCAAATTACACGAGAAAATTTCACCATGATGTCGGGTGGAGGTTTGCTTGGTTTGGGGGAGAAGAAAAAAAAACAAAAACTTTGGGTCAACGTTGTCTCGCAGCTGCCCATTAAACCTCCAGC